TGGTGGACATTATGGAACCAGAACCACCATACTCTGGGTTTCCTTGCCACTTAAAACAAACAAAATAAAACTCTGCATTTTTCTGCCCTTTGGTTTTATTTTGTCTTGTTTTCACTTTGGCTGAAAGGCTTCGATAAAACTAGAAAAAATGTAAAGCTACAGAGATTAAATACCAGCGCACAGCAACAATCAAATTACACCCATAGGAGAATAATCAGGTAACTTTCCTACAACCTCAGACACAGATAATCATTTCCTGAGCTCACAAATACAACACCCCATTCTGTAGGCACTAGATGAAAAGACAGGGGTTTATTTTGCGCTGAGGCCAAAGCTATTCTACTAACTGACCTTGGATTCTGCTGACCTCCAGAGGGAGCCCTGTGGCAGCCAAATCTGAGATTCATCTGTGAAAGGGCCAAAAGTAATTTTGTTTCAAATGCCAAAGCAATGTTTATGGAGTGAGGCAATATTTCTGATAACCGAGACCCAAATGTTGGTCTTCAATGGATTAAAGATCAATGGTAGCAATTTCAGAATAGTGAGCACTTTTAATAAGTAAGCAGTTTGGGGCTACAGCAATGTAGCCTCCTGAATTCATGAAGAGGAACAAGTGTTCAGGCAGAACGATCTCTAATACAACCATTTGCCTCTTCTATGTTTTGACAAATAGCAATTATCTGAATCCAGCCACCTGTGCTACCTGAGAAATTCTTTGAGCTAAAAACATACAGTGACTTAGAGTAACAACAACTCTAGACAGCCACAAAAGCCTGCTTTGCTGGTGTTTTATGATATACACGTTGCATAAGCCATTGTGAGATCTTGAAACTCAACATTCTCCTCCACCATGTCTTTGGTGGAAGGAAGAGTGAGTTAGAAAAAAAAAAAATCTACCATGTGACAATATAAAGGAGCAGAAAATCTGTTATTTAAAATCAATAGAGAATCTAAAGTCTGAACATTGGTTCATCAGTCTTGAACTAAAATGACCATGTAATAATCCTGCAGTGCTTTGGAGGTCATAGTGAGGCTCTGACCAAGGGCTCATAGTTTTCATGTTTGCATTCTTTTGAGGATCTTTTATCCTATTCTTTGAGGATAAGAGTGATAAATGCAGTACTACTGCTTTTTATTTCTATTATACTTGTCATTCAAAGCAGTCTGAAGACTTTCAAAGAGTAGATACACTTTTACACTAAATATCATAAATACTTTTGAAACAAGGCAGGTTATTAATTAAACAAGTAACTCACTTGCATACTAATGTACAATGCATGTGTTTCTACTTTTTAAACGTGGTTCAGCTGAAAGACAAAAACTTATAAACTTAGGACCATTTATATTATTCAACCAAGTACTGTGCTTTCTGAGCTATAAATTCTCATCATAAAATATCAATTTTTCTGGTATCTACCCCAAACGCACTAGTTGATAAGATTATTTACCTGTGACATGCCATTCCACTCTACCCCCTGAGAGTACAAAGACACAGGTTAAGCAAAGAGAATATGGGAAAGAAGGAAGAATCCAGACCAACAAAAATAGTGGTATTTTTTTTCATTTAAATTCAATTAGCCAACATAGAGTACATCATTAGTTTTTGATGTAATGCTCAATGATTCATTAGTTGCGTATAACACCTGGTGCTCATCACATCATGTGCCCTCCTTAATGCCCATTACCCAGTTACCCCATCCCCCCATCCACCTCCCTTTCCGCAACCCTCAGTTTGTTTCCCAGAGTTAAGAGTCTCTCATGGTTTTTCTCTCTCTCTGATTTCTCCTTCAGTTTTCCCTCCCTTCCCCTATGAATCTCTGTACTATTCCTTATATTCCACATATGAGTGAAACCATATGATAATTGTCTTTCTCTGATTGACTTATTTCACTTAACATAATCCCCTCCAGTTCCATCCATGTCAGTGTAAATGGTAGGTATTCATCCTTTCTGATGGCTGAGTAATATTCCATTGTAGATATGAACCACATCTTCTTTAAGCATTCATCTGTTGAAAGACATTTCAGCTCCTTCCACAGTTTGGCTATTTTGGACATTGCTGCTATGAACATTGGGGTGCAGGTGCCCCTTCTTTTCACTACATCTGTATCTCTGGGGTAAATACCAGCAGTGCAATTGCTGGGTCGTAGGGTAGCTCTATTTTTAACATCTTTTGGAACCTCCATACCGTTTTCCAGACTGGCTGTACCAGCTTGCATTCAATAGTTGCATCTTTTTGACATCACAGAGAGTCAACAAGGGACAAAGCTTGAATTTCATAGAAATTCAATTTCATTTTTAATCAAATTGCAAGTGAAAAATGCCAAATTATTCACCTCTTTTTTGACTCAATCAGACTTCACTTTCTATAGGCTAACTCCTTGCTTTTATTTACAATCAAAAAGCAAAGTATATTATGCCCATTATGAACTACTAACTTGGTAATGTTTCTGAAAAATAAGACTATGGCTTACTATAGCAGATTCTTACTATGGCTGATCCAGCTGGTGTTATTTTATATATTCCTGTAAAAACACTGCTTTCAGCTATATTGGCTTATTTCCAGTGGAAATTGGTGAGTCAAAACAGAGACTCCTCCCAGAGCAGGCATGTGACCCAACATGCAATGTAGGAGCCCAGGAATCTCCTTAACTCAATCAATCACAGGGTCACTGCCCAGTGCTGACTCGATGCACAACTGTGGGACACAGAGGAACCAGGTGACAAGTCTCCCCTGGTATTGTCACTAGTCCCTTGTTTGTTTGTCACTAGTCCCTTGTTTGTCACTAGTCCTCTTGTTTGGTTTCATCAGCCCTCAGGAAAGATATAATGAATGAAATAATGGAGTAAACCAGATCTATTTAAGGAGATTAGGCTTATTTACCTTGATAAAAGGACTTTTAAAATATTCCATCTAAAAAAGTCAAACTCAGGGAAACAGAATAGAGTGGTGGTTACCAGGGATTGGGGGTGGGGAAAATGGGAAGTACATTGGTCAAAGAGTAAACATTTACAGTTACAAGATTAACAAGTTTGGGGAGCCAACGTACAGGATTGTGATTATAGCTAATACTACTGTATCATATACTTGAATGTTACCAAAAGAATGAATCTTAAACATTCCCACCACAAAAAAAAAAAAAAAAAGTAATTATGTGACAGGATGGAGGTGGTAGCTAATGTTATAGTGGTAATCATCTTTCAAAATAAAAATGTATCAAATCACCATGTCCTATACCTTAAAATTACACCATGTTATGTGTCCATTATATATCTCTATCTCTATCTATCTATCTATCTATCTATCTATCTATCTATCTATCTATCTATCTATCATCTATCTAATTTCAGACACCACCCCACACCTCCGACTCTGCAGTTGGGGCCCAGGAATCTATCTTTATGACATTCCCAGAGTAGTTACTCACCAGGTTTAAAAATCGAGGGCTTAGATTTTCAAATGCACTCCCAAATCCTACTCATATTTTTAGGTTTAAATCTATTTCTTTCTCCTTTCTCAGGTCTTTATATTCACAGAATGAGTGTTGAATAATTTCTTGCATTGCTTACTAGAAGTTTGTTTCATTTGACAAATGAAGACACAAACTCAGGGATGTTAAGTACTTGGTTCAAGGTTACACAGTACACTAATGGAGTGCCAGGGCTAGAAAGCTGTCTGTTTTAGCCTCTGTGGTTAGTTGACTTTCCTTTTCCCTTCTTTTCCTCAGCTTTATATCCATGCATAAGGAAAATGGAGGCACCTAGGGGCTTCCTTGAAAAATCAGACATAAATCAGGGTAAATGTAGATATTAATCTCTAAGCAACACTTTCTCTCAGAGAGAAACCTACAGAATGAAAAAGACTTATGACACATATCAACTAAAGACAGTGTGTGGACATTGGGGTCCCAATTTGAACAAAATGTAAATTTGTTTTTAAATTATGGGACATCAGGAAAATAAGAACACCACCTGAATATTCCATTACATTAAGGAATTGTGTTTAAATATTAAAAGGCTGACAATTTCATTATGGCTCTGTTTTTCAAAGTCCTCGCATTTAAATACTTATTGTAATATTTACGAATGCAACAATCTCTGGGAAGCTTCAAATCCAGTGGTGGGGTAGGGGGCAGGAGTAGCTGTGATGAGACAGATTTGAAATAAGATTGACCATGAGCTGATAATGATTGAATCCAAGTGATGGTGCACAGGACTTATTATGCTATTCTTTCTACCTACTCACATATATGTTTTAAATTTCTCACTATAAAACTTTTTTTTAAGAATCCATTTCTCTCAAGGGCTGGCTTACAAGTTTGTGGGTTATTTGACTTACCTATATAATAATAGGCTTATTAGTGAGGTCCACAACTTGATAGAATATCAATAGCTTTATGCCTTCACCAGCCTCCCACCATGACTGTAGGAGATAAATGCCAACCATTAAAGCAGAAACTATGGTTCTCTAGTAACAGCAATCTCTTTCCAAGCAGCTACATACTTCTATAACCTGTTGCACTGTGAGAGACCTAAAACTGCAATAGGTAAACTATTAAAATGATGAAAACAGTTTAATAAATAATAGTAATTGTGAAAGAGCAATCACACAGATCATAAGAGTTTTCATAACTCAGAGTATGCTTGGGAAATTGTTGTTAACTGTGTCAAAGTAGAAGGAGGATGCACCCAGATCTGGCTAGGGGGTAACCTAGTTAAGGTGTCAGGTTTAGCACCAATTTCCAATATGCCCAGGAAGCTGCAGCACCCAGACTTTGAGGCTGAATACTCTGCCTTTCTCCTTTGTCCCAGCCCACCACCTCCATTCAGAATCTACAGAGCTGTGAATCTTAAAGGGCAGGATCTACTAGCATTCATTACAACTTCAGAGGTAGCAGGGTTCCCAGTTAAATGAAAGGTGTTCAGGGTTTGTTTTTTAAACAATAATTAAATATTCTATTATTTCAATGAATATTTCAATGAAATATGCTATTTCAGCACAGGAAAACCCTGGAAAAAGCTTTGTTTTATGACCTAGAAGTGGAAATAGAGAGTCTAAGGGGAAACAGAGGTAGATTTCTGGGAAGATAATGTTTCATGTGTTTATTTGTCTTCCAGAACTCCAAATAGTTGCGTTGGCAGGCAGGCTGCCCTAGAACTGCTCCCTTCTGAAGACTCAGAGGTGTTTACAGAAACTGAAAGTTCCAGCAGTATATTTCCATGAGCTCATTACCCGTTCCGATGATATCCTTTAGATGTTGCATGTGCAAATGAATATCCATGCAGTATAAACCCCTGCTCTGAGCTTTTGTTTTAATTACAAAGTAGCAGAAGTTAGATATGTGATTACTGTAACATCAGGGCATCTTTTTAGAATCCCTGCTTTGGTCACTATTATTCAAAGCAACTCCAATGCCATTTCTTGCCTGCCTCTTTATGCTAATCAGCCTAGCTCACTCGGCTCCTCCTCCTTCAGCTTCCCTTAAGAACTGTTCACTTTCAGCTGTCACGGAGGGTAACTCAGACCAGGCTTAGAAATCACTTGATTTAACTCAGCAGCACTTTTTAAATTTTGTGTCTATTACTCTAGCAGTCCTCTCTAAATACCAGAGGCATTAGGTTTCATGTCAGCAGATGAGTCAAAAATTGCCAAAACGGTAATTGGTTAGAAATAGTTATTTTGTAGCATTTTACCCTGGGGGAGGAGGGGGGCGGGAAGCTTCAAAGTGCTTTGAAATGAAAGAAGAATTAAGTTGTGTTTTTATCCAAACGAATTGGCATCTTTATTTGTAGGGGAGGTTATACTGGTAAATATTTATTTCAAGAATCATGACTTGGAAGCGCTTGGAAGTTTATTAGAGAGGTAAATGTTTTACACTCACGGACAGGATCTGCATGTACCTCTGTGGCTCTGGGTGTCTGGTGAGGACCATTTTAGGTGACTGACCAAGGGAAGGAAATGCCTTAGTGAGTGAGACTGGAGTCACAGCCATATTGCCACCACCATGTCTACCATACAAAGAAAAGGCAGAAGCCACCTGTTTAACAGTTTGTACACCTGTAAACTGAAGCTTCCAGAAGACCAGCGACAGCAAGGTGAGTCAGCCAGGCTAATGGGCTGTGTGTTCGGTGATCTCCCAGCCATTCGCATTCCAGGAAGAATGGTAAGCTGGGGAAGTACCTGGGGAATCTCTGGTTGTGAAATGCTTTATGATCTTTGATTTTTTTAACTCTGAGAATAGATATACTAGTGATGCATAAGGGTGAGTTCGCTTGGATTCACTATTGGTTTTTAAAGGACTATGGGAGACTATCAAGAATGCATATTTCTTGGACTTGTCATTCTGCAGCTTATGGGCTTAAACTTCAGGCCACTGTCATTTTTCTAGAGTATGCTAGACTTGTGTAATTCAAAACGTCCATCCAGGCAAGGCGGCATCAGCTACTAGGGGAATTTGCTGAGAGTAGCTTTAAGTGAGCCTGGAACTATCTTCCCTGTCCTGTCACTGATGGCTCGCTTTGGGATTTCAAGTTTAAACCTCATTTTTGCCCAGGTCTCTGACTCATTCATTTGTGGGAAAAATAAATATATTTTTGACTCTTCCTGTTAGGATGTAGGAAGAGCTGGAGACAGACAGGGAAAAGTGTCACATTTCACATGCTGGGTCCTCATTCAGACTCAACTATCTATCTGGCAGCCCCATTTTCACCATCAGTCTTTTTAAAATTTCAAATCCACTACCCAGCTGCATCGAGTAGTGGCAGAGGGTGGACATGAATAGACCAGATGATTCCTCCAATCCATTCTGTCATGGACAGCAAAGGACACTTGAGAAAAAGGCAGGGTTCTGTCACAGATGACATCGTCACTCCCCAGAGGCTAAGGATTGGTCCCAGACATTTCTAACTTGCCCTCAATAACCACTGATGGATCTGTCTGTGTATGGATCTAGGCTACCAGCTCTTTATTTACTTTTCCATAGACACAGTTTTAGATTTTAGTGGCCCGGAAAGTATTGGCTCATGGGCTGAAACCTCCCATTGCCAAGGTGGATCTGTGTGCTGACATTTGCAAGACAATGTCAGGCCACCTCCCTGCATTATTCTGGACTTCATGCTGTACAAGGCTTGGCACAGTGTGGGTAGAAAATACTTTATAAGAAATGGAAACAGCAAAAACTTGTAAGACCATTCTGTATCATCAGGGCTTCTCTAAATTATTTTAAACTAACTGCCTTAGCATGTCAAGTCCCGGACTGTGCCAGGGTTCAATTATAGTGCTGTAAAATTTTTACCCTTCTGTTAGTAAACTCTAATTCATCATAGGTTTTTGTTGGCTTTTCATTTTGTTTTAAATGCTTAAAGTGACCTCCCCCCTCTATTGCTAGTATAATATTTATTATATAAAATTTGCCAGGGGGAGAATTAAGGAGATGGTAAAAATCATCAGCCAAAGATAGTTGCTATTAACATTTTAATGTATATTCATATACATTACAAATAAATACATATACAAATAGAGTTACTTTATATATAGTTGTTTTGTAAACTGCTTTTTAATTTAATAATTGATTATGAACAGATTTCCATGTCATAAATTCTTCTACAACCTTATTTTTAACAGTTGTATACTATTCCTTTAAATGTAGGTAGCAAAATTCCTCAGACAGTTCTCTATGATGAGACACTTTATTTCTATTTTTTCACCAATACGAACAACACTGTGTTTCACATAAATCATTGCAGAGATAAGATTATTTTCTTGGATACATTCTTAGTGGTAGAACTGTGAAGCCAAAGGATATGTATGTTTTTAAGATTTTGTGGGTTTTTTGGCTTTTTTGTTTTTTTTGCCAATTGGTCCTCCAATTAGAAGTTTAGGGGTATATTCTCAGTAATACTGGGTAATATTTTTAAAAGCTTTTCCCAATTTTATAAGTGGAAATACTATCTCACTGTTGTTTTCACTGAAGGCAGGCTGTCTTAATATTCTCTCCTCTTATTGGCCATATCCAGAGGACACTGGAAAAATCATTATGATGACATACTTCCCAAAATACCAACAAGACAAGAAGTCTGGTTTCTTTTCTCAGGCTGAAGCTTTGCCTAGAATGTTTTGAAAGCAACCATATTCTTCCACAACCGAGTCTCAAAATATCAGCCCGCATAAACCACAATCCATAAAGTTGAAAAGCATGTTAATGCAATCCAGACCGGCCACTGACTGCTACAAGGACTGTCATCTAGAGATCTGAATTGACAAGTGACACTGGGCAGTGTTTGCTATGCTGCTAAATAGCATTCTACTTACTGTTCGGGAGTTGAAAAGTATTCATTGAGTGTAGTATCCTCCAAGCTATATTTGCACCTTGCTATTATACAAACTTCAGCAAAGGTCCAAGAAAGCAAAGCCGTTAGTTTCAGAGAGTGAGGTCCGCCTGTGGATTTATTCACTGAGGCATTCTGAGTCTGTGGCTTTGGCCTACCCCCAGCCACACCAAGGTTCCAGCTTTTTAACTTAACATACGGACGTGATTAATTGGCATTTAACTCTTCCGAGGGCACAACCAGATTCAACACATACATACTTTCTAGTCCTCCACACTATATGTTGAAGTGCTTGTTGTTGTAAAGCTGTACTTTTTGGGTGATCACTTACATAAAAGTCACTTGTTCTTTAGCAACTATCTGAACAATGACTATGTAAAGCACTGTGCCAGTCACCGGGTACATGAGTTGAATCAAACCAACTAAGCCGTGGTTTCCAGTCCACACAGTGTTTACCTGCTACAGCAACAGATGCTCTAGAGTCCAGAATAGTAGTCCAGGAGGCTCCTCTCTCTACTTGTTGCTGTCTGATAGCTTCTTCTGTGAGAGTTCAAATCCGCTGATCTATAACTCTGATCTGAGACCACATTTGTCAACATTAACATGTGTCTGCAAAAACCTCAACAACATTCAGTACACATTACATGCAGGTACTAGGCAAACTTCACCATATTTATGTTTTATAATGCTGTATACTTTAAAATTTACAAAGTAGATTTCTAAAATGCTTTAAAAATTACAAAATTTTCAATACGTGACACCTCATTTAATTCTTACAATATCAGGTGAGGTGGTATATTAGTCAAGATTCTCCAAAGAAACAGAATCTATGGGGGATGTGTGTGTGTGTGTGTGTGTGTGTAGATAGATAGAGATAGAGTCAGAGATAGAGATAAAGATAGAAATTTATTTTAAATAAATAAAACCTGGGTCGCTCAGTTGGTTGAGCATCTGACTCTTAATTTCAGCTCAGGTCATGATCTCAGGGTCCAGGATCAAGCCCCGTGTGGGGCTCTGAGCTTGGTGTGGCATTTGCTTGAGATTCTCTCCCTCTCCTCTGTCCCTGCCCCCACTTGCATGCTTGATCTCTCTCTCTCTCAAATAAATAGTCTTTAAAAATTTAAAAAAAAAAGAAATTTATTTTAAGATATTGCCTCACACAATTAGGGAAACTGACAAATCCAAAATCCTCTGTGTGGGCCATCAGGCTGGAGTCCCAGGCAAAGAGCGGACCAATGTTGCAGTTAAAATCTGAAAGCACTCTGTTGGCAGAATTCCCTCTTGCTCAGGGCAGGTCAGTCTTTTGTTATATCCAGACCTTCAGCTGATTGGATGAGGCCCACCAACATTCTAGAGGGCAATCTGCTTTACTCATAGTCCACCAGTTTGAATGTAAATTTTATCCAAAAGCACCCTCACAAAAACATCCAGAATAATGTTTAACCAAATATCCAGCACTGTGGTGCAGCACTGTGGTGCACATAAAATTAACCATTATAGGTAGGCATCATTATCCTCAATTTCAAAGATGTGGAAACTGGGAATCCTCAAAGTCAAGTGATTTTTCCAAGGCTATATAGTTATTAAGGCCTACGTTCAATGTGCTTTCTGCTATATATAGCTGTCTCATAAAATCCATGTTTCCTAGTGTTATAGTGTTTAATTTTTTCCATTGATCCATATCAAAGTAACTTCTCTGCAAACAGTCAAGCTGCATTAGGATTCCTTCTGATTTTGTTTGTTCTGACACCAACTAGGTGTGCTACAATTTAATTCAATTCTGACATTATCCAGAGTTAGTGAAGATTCCAAAACTTACGGGCTCAGTCTCATGAGACTGACAATTTCAAATGCCAGCTACAAAACTTCAGGTGTCTCCAGGCCATCTGCATTTGTGCCTGGATGATTACAAATGCAAGTCTTCCCACAACTCTCCCAGGTTTGAAAATTTGCTAGAATGATTCATAGAATCCAAGAAAGACCGATAGCATTTTATTATAAAGGATACAAATGAACAGCCAACTGAAGAGATACATAAGGCAAGGTGTGGGGGGGTTCTGAGCACAGGAGTTCTGTCCCCATGGAGTCTGGGTCTACCACTCTCCCAGGACATCAGTAAGATCACCAACTAGGAAGTTCCAGTAAGCATGGGTGTCCAGAGTTTTCATATGTGATTTCATTACACAGATGTAATTGATTAAATCATTAACTATGATTGAACTCAATTTCCAGTCTCTCTCCCTTCTCTCCCCCAGGTTGGGGGTAGGAAGTAGGGCTAGAAGTTCCAACTCTATACTTGCTTGGTCTTTTTAGTGTGGCCAGCCCCTCCCTGGAGTCACCTCATTAGCAAAACAGACACCTGACTCTCAGTCAGGAAATTCAAATGGTTTTGAAGCTCTGTGCAAGGAATAGAGAACAAAAACCAGACCTATTCTTTATTACATCACACTTTGGCCATGATTTTCTGGATGAATTCTGTCCTTAATGTCAGGACAGGTTCCTGAAAGTCAAGAAACATAGATTAATGCCTTCAACCACTTACTTATTTAATGCAGTTTTTACCAAGTGCTGGATGCTGTATTAAACACCAGAAATGCAAAGATGTTTTTCTCCCAGTCTTGTTTTCTATCATGTGTTTTTTAAGAGGAATTCTGTAATAAAAACTCAGCTAATGATACTTTTTCAACATTTTGGGTGAAAGAAAAAGTGATTTGATTCTATAATGTTCAGACTTTGCTGCGTTCATCCTCATTCTTTGTATTTTAGCC